TTATTATTATTATTATTATTATTATTATTATTATTATTATTATTATTATTATTATTATTATTATTATTATTATTATTATTATTATTATTATTATTATTATTATTATTATTATTATTATTATTATTATTATTATTATTATTATTATTATTATTATTATTATTATTATTATTATTATTATTATTATTATTATTACTATTATTATTATTTATTATCAGCAACATTACCATCACTGTTATTACTATTATCAGCAACATTATTGTTATTACTGTTACCATAACTCAGTTTTATTTATTAACTGACTCCGCTAACCATACAACACCTATACAATATCATAATTTCGAATTATTGTATGATTTAACCAGTATTACTATCAATGGTTGATAATATTGACCCTACCTAATAACAAGTAATTAAAATGATTATTTCTATCATCTTTCCTGATGTTTTAATTCTGTAATGAAAAAATAGCTTGAAATTACATTAATTATCATGTATAAAAAATGTTAAGGTAATAATTACTTAATTCAAAGTAAATAAAAAATTTTCATTTTCTTCTAAAATTTATGCAAAAAAACAATAGTTGAATAAGTCAAAATGAAAGAAGTTTTAAAACATTTCATGTTTTACTTACGTAAATATATTACGTAATATTAAAAAAATTTACGGTTGAAATGGTAGACGCTTCATCTTTCACGTCTTTTGCAGTTTGCATTGGACTTAGCGATCGTTTCGGTGCAGGTTCAACGTTAATCGCTTGTCCGTTACGAAGTGAACTTCCCCGACGACGTCCAACACTTTTCCTATAAGAAAAATGAAAAAAAAAAGTAAACTAAGCGAAAAGAAGAAATTAATCCATAAATTTCTTTGAAGGCAAATAATTTGCACGACAAATTCAAATTCAGCTGAATGAAAACGCTCACCGACTCACTTTCCCTTTTCTTTAACAAGACGAATTACGGAATCCTTAAATTAAAAATTTTCTGATTCATTAATTTTTATTTGGAAATTCTCGAATTGACAAAAACGATAACAAATAAATGTATGCCAGACGAAATTATCATTCCATATCTTTGAAATATCACAAATCAGTGCTAATAGTAATTTGCAAAAATCCCTCCTTTAACATAGATCGAAACATCCCTGAGATGAAAAATTGCAGAAGTAATTCGCTAGGTATTTAATAAACATATATATTTAATGAGGGAAAAAAACTAATAAAAGAGAATGAATGGGTATAAGATAGTAGTGGTCATTATGAGATGATGATAATTTAACCAATTAAAATTTAAATGATAGTATGAGATTCAGAGGGAAAGAAGGAGGTAAAAAAAAACCGGAGAAAAAACAAAAGACAAAATGCTAATGATATGAGAAAATAACGGTGTAATTAAATGTTAAACAACAAAAACAATAAACGAATGACATTAATATAAATCATTTTTAATATTTCATCAAATAATTTCAAATTAAATTCCTCCGCATTTTTTTCTCCTTTCTTTTTATCATTACTCATTTTATTCTTTTCCCCTTTATCATCGTCTTTTTTTATTTCTTTTTTTAGATTATCAGATATTTTGATACATGAATCTCAAAATAAACTTCATTATAATACCTAAAATAAACTTCGGGATGTTACAGTAATCATTATTAATTATAGAATTTTCATCCTTCGTATCATAATATTTCTTTCCTTCTATAATTAGAGGCTTTTTACATTTCATATTAAATAACAAATATTTATAATATATTACTTGAGAATATAAATGTTAACGCATAATCTAAACAAGAATATTATAATACAATAACAATAAGTGATTAGTTAATTAATTCATCTTTAGCTTATTATTAACTGATTTGTAGCATAGATAATTAAAACAAAAGATAAAGCTAAAATCAAACAATCTAACTTTATTTAATCTTTTTTTAAAACAAATAACAAGAAAAAAAAGTGTCAAATAGGGTAAAAAAAAGTGTGAAATATTACATTCCTTTTCCAGTTACGAAAATTGCTATAAATGTAATAACAATAACACTATTAATTAACAATATATTGTTAATTATCAACTATATATTACTTGATATTTTGTTCCTATTTTTTTTTAAATGTATAAAAGATGTTTAAAGTGTATTATATACAATATATGTTATTAATTAAAATTTGTCAGTTAATTAACCAAATATTTGTTAACTTCTTTAACCTTTACATACATACAAGTTTACATTCAATTTAATAATAAAGGAAAAAAAACGACAGAAAGAGAGGAAGAGAGAGAGGAGGAAAAGGAGGAGGATGAAGAATAAAAGAGCCATAAATAATCATACACAAAAACTAATCAAATGACTTTTCCGCCTCGACCTTTTTTCTCCTCCCATCATTCAATTCATTTTTATTCTTCCTTTTGCTTTAATTTTTTTTTTTTNTT